CGCCGCGGCTCACTTGGCTAATCCTCTGCCTGTGGCGCTGGCACCCCGGGTTCTAGTCCCTGTTGGGGCACCAGAATCTGTCCCAGTTGCTTCTCTTTCAGTCCAGCTCTGCTATGGCCTGGGAAAGCAGTGGAGGATGGCCCAAGTGCTTGGGTCCCTGCATCTGCATGGGAGACCCAGAAGAAGCTCCTGGCTCCTGGCTTCAGATTGGCGCAGCTCTGGCTGTTGCAGCCATTTGATGAGTGAACCAGCGGATGGAAGACCTGTATCTCTCTCTCTCTCTCTCTCTCTTTCTGCCTCTGCCTCTCTGTAACTCTGCCTTTCAAATATATAAATAAATCTAAAAAATAAATAAATAAAAAGTAAGAAATTCTAAGTTCCCTTCCATTCCACCCCCAATCACTGTTACTAGGAACTTGGCCTTGTGTCCAGAGATGTTTTATACACACACACATACACACACACATGTTTTATACACACACACATACACACACACATGTTTTATACACACACACATGTTTTATACACACACACAGGAGCGCCTCACTTCACGTGGGAGCCCTGCAACCCACAGTTGAGTGCCTGGCTTTGAGTCCTGGCTCTGTTTCTGATCTGGCTGCCTGCTAATACACGGAGGCAGCAGTGATGGCTCAAGTCCCTCAGTCCCTGCCACCTACATGGGAGACCCAGATGGAGTTCCAGGAGGCTTTGGCCCAGCCCAGCCTTGGCTGTTGCAGGCATTTGGGAAGTGAACCAGCAGATAGGAGATCTCTGTGTGTGTGTGTGTGTGTGTGTGACTATCTTTTTCTGTCTTTCTACCTTTCAAATAAAATAAATATTTTTTTAAAAATAAGTTTATTTTGGTGCAAAGAAACCAATTTGGGATGCCCCTATTTCTCACTCCTTATCCCATAGAATAATGCCTGGGATCGAGCCTCCCGGGAGGCAGCAGGTGATGGCCCAAGTACTTGGCTTCCTGCCACTCTCATAGGAAACCCTGACTGAGTTCCTAGCTCCTGGCTTTGACCTGGCCCAGTTCTAGCTATTGAAGACATTTGGGGAGTGAACCAGAAGATGCTCTCTCTCTCTCTCTCTATCTCTATCTCTTGTGGTCACTCTACCTTTCAAATGAATAAAACTTGAATAAAATTTTTAATCCATGCATCATTTTTTCATAATATCCATTTTCCACGAACGTAGAGAAGACCCCCTCCTCTGAGTGGATTTCACACATTTTTGCAGCAAGATAAACTTCTCTTTCAAACCCACAAACATTGTGACGTCCTGCCACCTAAGAACACAGATTCGATATCTGTCCCCTCTCTCTTCCTCAAGCAGCAGCATTCTATTCACACCTAGCTCTGCTCACCTGGGACCTGGGACCCTCCCGAGGCAAAGGAGCTGGACCCAGCTGACTGAGGGGAGGGGCCCCACGCCGGACCACCCTAGATGATTTGGTGGCCCAGAGGATCACAAGAGTCCCTTGAAGAGGGAGGGAGAGCAGGGCAGCAGAGGTGCGGGTGCTCTGATAGGAAGCAGCTACAAGCGGTAAATCGTAAGAAGCTGGGAAAACCAAAAATCGCAGGTTCTCTCCTCGGTCCCCTGGAAGGAGGCAGCCCTGCCAACGAGGAGACGCTGCTGCCGAGCCGGTGAGTCCATGACACTGACCTCCAGGGAATCTGTGAAGTTGATCTGCACTTCCAACCTCCACCTAAGCTCAGGAAACTACATTGTTTCCATCCAAAGCTCAGAAAACTACATTGTTTCAGTCCACCGAATGTGCAGTTGTTTTTTAGCAGGGAGATCCCTTCTTGTCCTCTTTCCTGTCCAGGCAGTGTCCGTTTGTCTACATGAACCAAAACGTACAAGCATTTAGTGTGATTTCTGTGTTTTGCCACTACCAAAAATGTCCCAAAAAGGTCCCTGTATGTCAACAGGGATATTTAGAGGAAAAGTGACACCTGTGGATCCAAATTGTTTTAGAGATTTATTTATTTAATTTGAAGAGGAGAGAGAGAGAGAGAGAGAGAGAGAGAGAGAGAGAGAAGGGTATATTGTAACTGCTGGTTCACTCCTCAAAGGGCCAGAGCAACTCCAGGCCAAAGCCAAGAGCACAGAACCCCATCTGGGTCTCCCACGTGGGTGGCAGGGCCCCAAGTACTTGGGCCGTCATCGACTGCCTCCTAGGCACAGTAGCAGGGAGCTGGATAGGGAGCAGAGTATCCAGGACTCAAAGTGATGCTTGGACACGGGACACCAGCACCGCAGGCGACAGCTTAGCTGTTCCTCAACGCCAGCCAAATTTATTAATATTGTCAACCTTCCCGAAGGGTCTTTGTTAAGACAATTCATTTGAACAGGAAAGAGAGAGAGATTTCCCATCCACTGGTTTACTCCCCAAATGCCCACAATAGCCAGAGCTGAGCCATACCATAACTTGTTTTTTTTTTCCTCTCTGGAAAAATTTTTAAATTTTTTTCTCTATCTTTGTACTACCCAAGTATCACTTGAGTGTTTGATTTGTAATGTACATTTTTTTAAATATTTGGTGAGATTTCCAAGCAAATATTCATATCTTTTTTAATATAGGGTACTTTTCTTCTATAATTTATTTTATTCTAGCCCTTTCATTTTCTCGGATTCCAATTCCTTTCCTATTTAGTGAATATTAGACCTCTACTTCTATACTTCATACTTGTTAACTTTCTCTCATTTTTTTCTGTATTTTTGCTCTGTATACTAGTATTTTTCTTCTGAGCTTAAAAAATTATATTAAAGATTTATTTGAAAGGCAGAGAGATTGAGAAAGAGAGGTCTTCCATCCACTGGTTCACTCCCCAAACGGCTGCAAGAGCTGGAGCTGAGCTCATCTAAAGCCAGGAGCCAGGAGCTTCTTCCAAGTCTCCCATGTGGGTGCAAACACTTGGGCCATCTTTGGCTGCCTTCCTAGGCGCATCAGCAGGGAGCTGCACTAGAAGCGGAGCAGCCACACTTGCTCTCCAATATGAGATGCCAGAATTATTGCAAGCAGCAGCTTAAGCTTCTGTGCCACACAAGCTTTGTCCTTGGCCGTATTTAACTAACTTTCAAGTCTCTGCTGAATTCCTGCATGTAGCAATCCGATTTTAATTATCGGGAGTTCTTATTCTCTGAAAGCTCTTGAGTCGTAACAACTTGTTCTCATTTTAGCGATATAATATCATCCCGAATTTTTCTAAGAATTCTGAAAAGAATATGTTAGAATTCCATGGTGTTTCCCAAGACACAACTGGTTTTGATCAGGATCCATTGCTCTAAATGCTCCCAGGAATCTGCTTTGACCTGAAATTGCACAGTAGAGTATCTGATGGACAAAGGCCATCAGCACAGCTAACATTCCTTGAGGAAGTGGGAAGTGGGTGGGAGTGTTGACAGGCAGGATCCCCGCCTTGTACAAGTCCCTAGATTGCCTACAGCATAAACAGCGTTGGCAGAACGCATACCTATGAAAGCTGTCTGCTCCCAGGTTTGCTGTGCAGCCCCAAGGTTGCCCCTCACCCCCAACCTCGGTTTTTTAGTTTGTGTTTTTACCCAGCAGCCATACTGCCTTACCTATAAGGGCTAGAACCGCTTAGGAGTCATCTGGTTTTATCCACCAGCCACTCTCTGCCCAAGTTCGCTTTGCAGCTGTGCGGCGGAGAGGAGAAGGAAGAGAGGAGCGGTAAAGCCCGTTGAGGGAGCCGGTCCCGAGGTCCTGAATTCAGAACCGGAAATCAACACTCTTTTGAGTGCCCTCTGCCCTCTCCTCGTCCTTTCTGCTGGCCAACTCCGCCTACTCTTATCTCTAGAAGCGCCTCCTGGGTTCCTACTTTTGTTTGCTTTTCGTGGAAGCCCATCTGCTTCCTATCTGCAGGCGTTGACTGCAGCTCCGTGATGCCTTTACTCAAGGCCAGCACTGTTGTGGTTTCATTACAGCGATGTACAGATGGACAGACAGACAAGGACGGAGAACGATTCTCATCACTGCAGTGGGACTTGAGGAAGGCTGGTGCGTCCTCCGCCATCTTGAACCAGAAGACACCCAGCCCAATTTAGCGTGGATGGAATATGTCTCTAGGGAGCCATCTTTCCTTCCACCTATCAAGTTTTATTTCCAGGAAGCTATCAGATTCTCACAAAGCTCATAAATCAACTTCTTTTCAACACGGAAACACACAAAGATATTGGGAAATGTAGGGAGCCAATGTAGGAACAAAAGCCTAGCTCACAACAAAAGAGTCTATCATTTGAGAAATTCAATCTGCCAGTGTATATATCCAAACATGGTATAGAAATTTTCCTTCTGTGGGGAACTTAATTGCTGAGATCATTTAAGGTTCAACCTGAGCCCCAATTCATCCGCCAACCAGATGAACTACTGAATGATATTTTGGTGATTCTTGTGACCAACTGAGAGCATGGTGGTATTGGAAGAAAGGACTTAGATCAGACCGTACTCATCACATCAAGATAATTCCAGACATCTCATGTTTCAGGATGCCTCTTCTGGACGACACTTTGAAAGTTCACAGGAAAGAAATATTGATAAATCTACATACATTTCAAAGAAACTTCTAAATCCAATATTTTGCCTTGCCGTAAAATTACTCATCTACTGTGAAAAAAAAAAAAAAACAGAATGAGAATATGTTAGAACTAAGAAGGATAAAGGTGGATAAAAGGATAAAATGTAAACAAAAAGTTTGAAGGTAATGACCAAAGGAAAAACCATATTTGGATTTTTGTCACTATTATTCCAAACAGAAAAAAAGCTAGCACTAATAGTTGAATCTCTATAGTGTTATTCATTATTCAAAATAGCTTTTATCTTATTGTAATATATGTATTATATATATATGTAAGACATGTATTATAATGCATTCCTCAGAGTATACAAGACTACATCATCAGAAAGTACAAAAAAAAAATTAAAAGGTAAGTTTATTTTGAGAACAAAAATTTGAAATTCATGCACACGAGGGATCTTCAAAAATTCATGAAAAATCATATCATAAAAATCTAACCATGGAGTTCAAAGATTTTTTTGCACCAAATTAAACTTATATTTTTATTTCATTTCCATGAACTTTTTGAAGTTCACCATAAATGATTAGATAGTAAGCGTTTGCAAAGTTGACAGCACATTCCTTGTCTCCACTTTGCAAATAAACAGCAAAAGAATTATTGCTTAGGATCCCACCTAAGCTTACATTCAAACCCCTTTTGGTTTTAAAGCTGCTCTTGTCTCTCCCCCCACCCCTGACCTGAGTGTGCACATGCACGCACGTGTATACACACACACACACACACCTCTTGCTTTTCATACCAATGGTTGTGTGCACCAGGCCAGCTGCAGCCATACTCGATCAAGCCCGACAGAGCTGGAGGAAAAACATCTGGTCCAAAGTTGGGCTTGCCTTTGTAGCGCAGAGTGTTCTTTGATCTCCAATTGCTGTTCTCTATTGAGTCCAGCAGGTCGATTAGTGAATAGACCGTTCCCACCAGGAGTCTCCCTGGCCGATGACCTAGGACAGAAGCAAGCTCTGTTTTCAGTCTTCGCTTTCTACTTTATACACATCCTACCCCCACCCCTACCTTACCCCCATCCCCGCCCTCCACCACCTTGAAATAACGTAATTTATTAAAACCCCCTTCGTCACTTCTGTGGTTAATGAGGCCTCCCTTTGGTGCAGCTCTCCTGCAGAAACTCAGCCGCGTTTTAAGCACCCCATTCGGCGCCCACGCTTCCACTCTGTGCCACAGCTAAGCTCAGCCATAGCTTGCAGTACCATTGTTAGCCCCCAGCAGCCTGCCCACGTTTCACCAGCTCCCTGGGTGGGGAGAACTGGAATAATCGTCTTTTCTACCTGTTTACCAACAAAGTTCAGAGAAGTCCCATGACATTAACATTTTCACCTGGATTTCATTCTAATAAGCTTGGCTAATTCCCCTCACCCGATGAAGAATTTAAGCAAACATGTGAGAATTGCTTTTTCAGCCCGTTTACCATGGCGTCCTCGCTATCAGGCGCTATTTCGGGAAGAATGATTCGATGTCAGTTCCTTTGGGACTGGCAGGCAGAATTCCAGTGATCCCAACAAGGTCAAGACAGTGCATAGGAACTTCATTGTTCACCTGAGAAGAAAAATCACTGCTTTATACTGTATGAACCAAGTCAACAACAGCTCTAAACCAGTTTTTTTTTTTTTTTTTTTAATTTTTTTGAAGCAGGATTGGCCCATCAGCATGCCACTCAAACCAGTTGGCCAAGACCGGATTGTGGCACGGTGGGTTAAGCTGCCACTTGCAACACCTGCATTTTTATCCTGGTTCCAGTCCCAGCTGCCCCACTTCTGATCCAGCTTCCTGTTAATGCACCTGGGAAAGCTGTAGATGACAGCCCAAGTACTTGGACTCCTGCCATCCTTGTGGGAGACCAGAATGGAGTTCCAGGCTGCTGGCTTCAGCCTGGTCCAGTCCTGGCTGTTGTAGCCATTTAGGGGAGTGAACCAGTCAATGGAAGATTCTCTCTCTCTCTCTCTCTCTCTCTCTATATATATATATATATCCCTCCCTGTCTCTGCCTCTGTGTGTGCCACTCTCCCTTTCATATAAATAAAATAAAAATAATTATTTAAATAAAAAAAACCCTCCTTGGACCCATGAGACAGACAAAGCCAACACAACCACCCACCTTGTCCATTGCATCTCAACAGTGGGAAATCCCCATCTGATTCCTATGCTGAGGCCGAATCAAACTGTGGGCACACATGCTGGCCCAGCTGTGGGCAGACCCTGTGGCTCTTGCTCAGCCTGCCCCAACAATCCGGTGGTTATGAGCCCTTGGCCCATAAGAAATTATGAAAGAATTTTTGGGCCAGCACTGTGGTGTAGCAGGTGAAGCCGCCACCTGCAGTACCAGAATCCCATATGGGCACCGGTTTGAGTCCCAGCTGCTCCACTTCTAGCTCTCTGCTATGGCCTGGGAAAGCAGTGGAAGATGGCCCAAGTGCTTGGGCCCCTGCACCTGCATGGGAGACCTGGAAGAAGCTCTTGGCTCCTGGCTTCACATTGGCCCAGCTCCGGCCATTGCGGCCATTTGGAAAGTGAACCAGCATATGGAAGACCTCTCTCTATCTCTGTCTCTGTAACTCTACCTCTCAAATTAATTAATTAATTAAAAAAAAAAGAGTCTGGGTAAGTCTGTCCAGTGAAGTTCCTGGAGGCCACTGACCTAGAAACTCAGGAGAAGTACCCAACTACAAGCCTGCAAGCCACGCCTTTCAAATCTCTGCCCCAGGCTGCGACACTGACCAGCTCAAAGCCATTTTGTCTGTTGAAGATTTATCTATTTATTTACTTGAAAGAGAACAGGAGAGAGAGAATATATTCCATCCACTGGTTCGCTCTCCAAATGCCCACACACAGCAGGAGCTAGGCTCCGCTGAAGCCAGGAGCCCAAAACTCCATTCAAGTTTTGCACATGGGTGTCAGGGACCCAAGTCCTTGGGGGCCATCATCCACTCCCCTCCCAGGCACAGTAGCAGGAAGCTGGAGTGGACACACACACAGCAGCCAGGACTCTGATATGGGACGCAGGCCTCGCAAGCAGCAGCGTCACCCACCGCACCGCAACACCCTCCCCACAAAGGGCCATTTTAAAGGATAACTGCCAGTGCATATAGTCTCAAAACTTTAAGCAGGGCAGCTGCAGATTCTTACGTGTCATTGCCCCAAGCTTTGTAATAATGAACACTTGTAATTAGGTCGGCAGGAAATTAACTGTGGAGTGTAAGTCTTCACAGGTCCACCGCTAGGTACCTTCAGAGAACTATTAAACATCACTACTTGGGCAGCAGTGATGGTTCAAGTACTAGAGTTCCCGCCAGCCACTCAGGAGACCGGGATGGAGTTCCTGGGTCCCGGCTTCTTCATTCTAGCTCAGTCCCAGCAGTTGTGGGCATTGGAAAAGTGAATCAATGGATGGAAGAGATATTCTCTCTCTCTCTCTCTCTCTCTCTCTCTCTGCCTTTCAGCAACATAAAAATTAATCAACCTAAAAATAAAATGCCAGCAGCTTGACCTATGCCAAGTGTACCCACAAGAGAGGCAAAGCTAGAGGAACTTGGACATGACCTTGGAAACTTGCAACTTACACCTTCCCTGGGTGTCTATGGGACTCGGTTCTTATTCCCTTGTGGGAGGCATCCTCGCCAGGACTCTCCTTTGGATTGAGAAGGTCTCCATTCTAAATGACCTACCCTGGGATCTGCCCCTCTCTCCTTCACACTTTTATTTGACACTGATAACGTAGCAACCGCCCCCTACCCCGAGACAACACATCCAAGACCCACAGCCCCGACTCAAGGCACAAGCAGCTGATGAAATGTAAGACTAGGATTTCTAGAAGCCCTGAGCTCCCTCTAGCCAGAGTCTCCAATCCTTCAGTTTCCAAAAGGAATACTTTTCCCCTTTTCCCCAATTGTTTTCTGATTACACTTAGTCCTGAACCATGTTATCGTTTCCGTTACACTGATACATTGTCACTGAGTGAGATCAAAGTCAAACCCAGACTCCAGTTGTCTCAGCTGATGGGCTTCTCTCACTCTGCAGAACATCAAAGTGGCCTAGATGAAATTTTAGGTCGTGCAGACTTGGTAGAGAACAAACATCACCCAGAAGTCAGCACACTGCTTCCTCGTGCAATGTTCTTGCTTCCAGAAAAATGTGCTGGGGTCACTTTCCTGAAAGGAGAGTACAAATCGGTGTTGTTTTTTCTTTATCATCGCAAGCTAATTCTAAGGCTCCAGCTCCAGTCTCCTTCTAATCTTCCAGGTAAATATTTTGCAGTACCATTTTGATGTATTTTTTGAGCTTTTTTTTTTTAATCTGGAAAGTGATTGCTAATAATAAATTGTTGCTAATAATAAGCAACAGGTGCAGTGCTTTTTTTTTTTTTTTTTTTTGATGGTCGCAAGATTCCCATGTTGAAAGCTAGCTCTCCACATGACATTCAGAAGTGGGGTCTTTGAGACGTGATTCTCATGTGGATGGGATTAGAACCCTTACAACAGAGAGACCCAGACTCTGTCTACCTTCCATCATGTGACGAAACAGCAAGAAAATGGCCATCCAGGGACGGGAGTTTGGTGCAGTCGCTAAGATCCACTTTGGGGGCCAGCACTGTGGCCTAGCAGGTAAAGCCAGTACCTGTGATTCTGGCATCCCACATGGGCCCCTGTTCATGTCCCAGCTGCTCCACTTCCAAGCCAGCTTCCTGCTAATGGCTTGGGAAAAGCATTAAAGGATGGCCCAAGAGTTTGGGCCCCTACACCCATGTGAGAGACCTGGATGAAGCTGCTGGCTCCTGGCTTCGGCTTGACCCAAACCTGACTATTGCAGGCATTTAAGAAACGAAACAGCAGATGGAAGATCTCTGTCTCTCTCTGTTTCTCTCTGTGTGCATCTATGTCTTTCAAATCAATAAGCGTTTATTTGAAAGGCAGAGCAACAGAGACAGACAGACAGAAGTCCTCCATCTGGTTCACTGTACAAATGCTCACAATAGCCACAGGTGGGCCAGGCTGCAGCCAGAGCCAGGAACTTTCTCTGGATTTCCCTGCAGAACTGTGAGAAATAAGTATCTATTGTTGATCAGCCGCTGGGTCCAAGCCTGAACCGATTTCCACAACCCCCAACATCCAAATCTTCCCCTTGCTGCTCCTCCAGTACCCATGGGGAGGACGCCTTTGGAAAGACACTTGCCTGGGGAGTAGGAGAACTTTGCTACTTAAGATAGATTGGGCGGGGCGGGGCGGGGGTTGGGGGGGATGCAATATACCAAGAATTTGAAACCACAAAGAAAGGGTAGAAAAGCCATGCGCACATCCTCGTTTTTGGGGTAAGCTCATGGCCACAGAAAGCTCTTTAGAGAGAGACTGAGGGTGGCCCAGAAAGGTGACAAGGGTGTCCCACTAAAGAAGTCACCCCCTCCACTGGCCCACCCACGCCATGCCTCTCCCTTCCTCCCTGAAGTTCAGTCTCCCCTCTCTCATTACAGCCCCTCTGGGAGTCTGTCTCTAACTGGAGCTGAGCTTCTGAACTTTGTCATTTCCTGTGTCTTGGGAATGTGCACATGCAGCCCTGGTAGGATCCCTCTGGGAGTGTCAGCGTTTCATCTCACCCCCACGCACTCAGCAAGGCTGCCTTGCTTTGTGGCCTCCAGAAAGCCCTCTGGGAAATGAACTTGCCTGCCGGCCGCCTCCTTTCCGCCCTGGCCAAAGCCAAGTCCACTTTCCCTCGGCAGCCATAGACCCATGGGTGGTTTTCCCCCCTCCCCAAGTTCACAGTGGGTTAAGTTTCTTCTTCAGACGTGCTCGAAATGCTTGTCTGATCTCTGGGTAGGACTCGCAATTTGATGATATGTAATTTAAGTAAACACATTCCACTGTAATTTAGGGGTGAAGGGGAGACTCCAATGAGTAGAATGTCCACAGTAGGCGTCCCTAGGCCACCCACGGGACCCACATTTCCAGCCCAGGCCCTGTGGAGGCCCCCAGTGCCTCTCTCCCAGAGCAGGACACCAGGGCCCTAATCATCCAAGATAAAATGCACCTGCACTCTAGCTGAACTGCTGGGCTACATCCCATAGTGCTTTCAGAAAGTGGGTGGACAGTACTTGGCTCACCACATTCAAAAAGTTGAATAGTTTCCCTTTGAAGCCTAATCCCCAATATTCTCCATTTGGACATAAGCTTACACATTCATTTCTAGTGCTTCATTTTATACACATAAATTATAAGTCACTTTTTAAAAAAAGATTTATTTATTTATTTGAAAGACAGAGTTACAGGGAGGCAGAGGCAGAGAGAAAGAGAGAGAGAGAGAATCTTCCATCCGCTGGTTCACTCCTCAGATGGCCGCAGTGGCTAGAGCTGTGCTGATCCAAAGCCATGAACCGGGAGCTTCTTCTGGGTCTCCCACAAGGGTACAGGGGCCCAAGGACTTGGGCCATCTTCTACTGCTTTCCCAGGCCATAGCAGGGAGCTGGGTGGGAAGTGGGGACCTGGGACTCGTATTGGTGCCCATAAGGGATGCTGGCACGACAGGTGGTGTCTTTATCCGCTATGCCACAGCACCGGTCCCCATAAGCCACTATTTAAGCCAAGGTCATAAGCTATGGGAAAGCACGGAGCTTCCAGGAAACCGAAATGCTGACTCCCAGGTGTCTTTGGGGAAGTGATATAACCAACCAGGAGGTCAGTTTACTCACTGCAGCAGGAGGCCTTCCACAGGGTCACAGGCCAGCACCTGTGCCCTTAGCAAAGTCAACCGGCATTGCATCAGCTGGGACATCTGCCCCTCCATGCCCCATCTCAGATTCCACAACAAAGGCACGGGCACAGCCTAGGCAAGAATCCCAGCGAGTCCTCACATAGCCCTGTCACCTCCTCTCTGCCTCCCTTCCTAACCACAGCCCCGACCCCAGAAAGAGGAGAAAGTCTAGAACCCTACTCCGTACCCAAAACCTCCCTCCTCCTCCCCCGGTGGGAAAGCCTTCCTTGGGAAACTTAAGGTAAACATCTTCTGGACTCTTGGCTGTTGACAGCGTGTTTTCAATTTGCAACGCAAATTCATCGGAAACCCTGCTGCCAGGGAACCGGATGGCCCAGGGAATCGGTAATTGGTAATGAATCGTGCAGCCTTGGAGGTCTCGGTGGTCCTTCTAAAGGCAAAGGGAGTTACCTGATGCTGCGGGAAACCTTTGCAACCTGAGCCGGGACCCCTGGATGCCTTCCCTAGCCTAAAAGCGGAGTGATGGCAGCATCGTTGGTTGGGCACAGAGAGGTCCCTGGGTGGGGACAGAACTGCACGATGACGGAACAAGCTAGGGAGTTAGGGATTCTGTCTGGAAGGCTGGAGGCTTTAATCCGCCCCGGGGATATTCCAAGGGAAATTTCCAAGGACTGTCAGGCCTGGAGAAGTGGAATTAATGCACACCCTGCATTCTAGAAGGGTCAGAAATTCCAGTGTTGGGATTTTTATTTCTCCTTCCTCACTCTCGCAGTCCAGGGGATCCAGGCACTTTTGCAGCCGGTTTTGCAGTGGGGCAGAGCTTGCTACTTCCTCTCCATCCTAGGAGTCCACATTCTCTTCCACAAACAAAAGCAGTGCATCCCAAAGGCTGTTGAAACAAACCGAAACAACAAATCTTTTTCCCGGAGGTCCCCCATGCGGGTGTCTGTGTCTGGGTCTGATTCAAGTGCTTGCAGCCATCCTAGGAGGGCCATCTATAGAAAAGGCAGGGCTTTTACATCTCTCACTTTGCTGGTCTATTCCAGGTCCATGTTTATATCACCGCTTCTCCTCTGCGCTCTTAGGTTTATAGTGGCAATAATTTCCCCTCGAATGTAGTGCAAACAACAAGCAATTAACAAATGCGCAGAGCTGTGAGCATTCCTGGCTGTCTTGCCTAGTCGGTCCTTAATTTGGTGGAGGAAAGGCTAACAAACTCATAAAAGGGAACTTGAATTTTAGAAGTGAGCTCAATCTGACGTTATTAAGAAGGAAAATGTAGTAAAAATAATAACAGCTTGGCCAAAAAACTCTGCAGCAAAGTCAATTAGTCTTACAAAGAGCCGGACAGTCTGCAATATGGACTTGGATTTGGAATCACTGAGCCTATTAAACAACTCCAAGCATCATCTCTCGAAAAATCACATTGGGATGCCCACGGCCAGAAACTGCTGAGTGAAATTCTTTCAGCGTGCTGGGTACCACTCAGTTTATTTTTTATTTATTTATTTTTTGACAGGCAGAGTTAGACAGTGAGAGCGAGAGACAGAGAGAAAGGTCTTTCTTCCATTGGTTAACCACCCAAATGGCCGCCATGGCCGGCGCGCTTCGCTGATCCAAAGCCAGGAGCCAGGTGCTTCCTCCTGGTCTCCCATGTGGGTGCAGGGCCCAAGGACCTGGCCATCCTCCACTGCCTTCCCGGGCCACAGCAGAGAGCTGGACTGGAAGAGGAGCAACCGGGACAGAATCCGGTGCCCCAACCAGGACTAGAACCCAGGGTGCAGGCGTTGCAGGCGAAGGATTACCCTAGTGAACCGTGGAGCTGGCCACCACTCAGTTTAAAGTTTTCCTGTGTCTTCAAGCTTCCGATACACACATGTGATTTGAGGTGCATATTTTATATATCGACAGGTGAGCACCTACTGTAAAAATTTCACACAATAAACACAGTCATGTACAACAAACAGCAAAATAGAGCCTGCATATGTAGTACTAGTCCACAAGCTCATGGAAAGATGCAAATGATGACACAGGATGTGTGGATTTCCATTTTGTTTGCACCCGAATGCACTTGTCTTTCAACTCCACATTTCCACAAACCTTCATAAACTTCTCAGATGGTTTTAGAAGAAAACTCATTTCAAACAGGAAAATAGCAAGGTGTGGACATTACGAGTGTGTGGCAAAAATCAATTGTTAGTATCTCTGTTCATAATTTACAGCATATTTCAAGTGGAGTGGGTGCTGTCCCTTGAATCAAAGAACTTGGTCACTGACCCCAAGACGTGGCCTCTGTCCAACATATCTCTATGGGCTGCAAAGATTTCATTTTGCTCTGACATATCCATGGGAGAAAAGCTAAAATCCTAAGTGCGATGATTTTCAGAGGTAATTCTTACAAAACCATCTTCTTAAATCAACTGTATGAATTCATGGCAGGTTTTTTAGAAAGCAAAAAAAAAAAAAAGTATATTCTATTTCATTTACATCTCATCCCCAAATGCTTCAAATTTCTTCAATAAAAATGAAGCTGTGCCTTTTTCAGATCTGTAGTTCTCAACTCTCAGGCGCTGTAAAAATCCCCGATGATTTCTATAGGTTTTTCCCAAGGAAGGAAGATTCAGCTCTAATTAACTGCGATTGTTTTTCTACTACCTTGAAAGAATAGCAGGGGGTGAGCCCTGCAGAATAAGATTATTAAAAGTTTAATAACCTGGGCCTTTGAACCTTTGCAAATTCTTTACAATTTTCTCACATTTCCAGCCCAGATGTCTGTACACAGCAACAGTGCCAACCTCTTGCTGACAATTTCCATTCATCTTGTTTTTTTACCTCTTTTTGAAAAGAAAGAGAATTAAAAAAAAAAAAAAAGCTAAGAGGAACATGCCGTGATTTTATAGCTCTTCAAAGCCAAGGGATGAAGTTATTCCTACAAGAAAATCTGCAAGATGAGTTTTGTCCATTTTTAAGCAAAGCATTTCCAACAACGGGACTGTCTCTTCCCCCGCTGTCTGAGGAAATTGTCCGACAGCTTAGCAGCAGCGAGGCCGGCTGAATCCCAGCATTCTTTTCAATCAAGCGCCCAAGACTGAAAAGGAAAGTTCACTTTGGAAACGTGAACTCCCCGGACTGTTACAAAAGAAAAGACAGAAAAGGAGGCATCCTCCTAACAGAATTAGTGTCTTGCTGTTTCACTAGTGAGGAACGTTTGTATCCAACAATAGCCAATAGAATTACCTCTCTTAGAACTCAGTGTGGCCATTGTAGCCCAGCCCCACATATTTGGAGCCCCCCATGGGCCAATTATTTATTGCTCTTCCTTTAATAAAAGAACACAACTATCAAGTGAACCTGTTGCCACTTCAGGAACATTTTTTTTCTGCAATTAAGCTCTGGTAAATGAAATAAAAATAAACCTACCGATTAGTAGTTTCAGGAAGTCCCATTAAAGGCAAAGCAGGGCTCTCTCTTCTTTCTTTCCTCTTTCTGTTCAGTGAAATTTGAGTGCGATGGCTGGAACTTGAGCAGTCACCTTGGGCCATCAGTCAAAACAAAAACTAAGGAACAAAACTAAGGAAGACAGAGTGCTGAGGTGGCAGAAGACTGGGCTCTGGGTTACCACGGAGCCATCTTCCCAGCCATCTTCCCTACCTTCAGAACTGTTTTATGTGTGCAAGTGAGACAAGAATCTTTATCGCTGAAACCCACTGTTGTTTGTTGCCTTGACAACGTCAAGCTAACGTCACCCTGCGTAGAGGTCTCTGAGAGAGAGAAAGCAGTTCTGAGATCTCGGAGCTGTCTGTTGTTGGGAAAATGGTGCAGCTTTATCTGCGGTGCGATCTACACCCTGATTTACATCCTAGGCTTTAGCTCCCACCACCATTGCTGGAAGCCAGGTGGCCACATGGCCCAACCGCTGTTGTCAAGCCCCACCCCCATCCTAATGGGATTGGCTGCTCCTGCTTCCCTGCCCGCCCTCCGCAAGGTTTTAAAAGGGCCTGTTCCTGAACACGTGGCTCTCTTGGCTCTGCTCTTCTGCTCTCTTGGCTCCTCTCGTCTGCTCTCCTCTCCTCTTCTCGTCTCTCTTTTCTCTGCTCCATCTTCTCTCCTCACTAGCTCCTCTCCTCTGTCTCCCTCTCTCTTATACTCTCTCTCTCTTATCCTTCTTCGTCCCTCCCCTCCAGTCTGCTGGGTTTTCCCCAATAAACCCTTTCCCTTACTCCGGTGTTTGGTGTGCTTTGTGACGGCCTAACAGAAATCTATAACATCTGTAGAATCCACTGGAGTGGGTGTTGCTAAAAGCCACTGCGGCGTTTGCAATCCAGTCTTGGAGTTATGCTGTTAACATAGGCAATTTCACAAGACAGCAGCATCAGATGAAGCCACCTTTGTCACCATGAGGGCTGGAGACAACAATAAGACCACTCTGTGTCATGTCTGAACACGGGCGAAACACGGACATGGCCCACGCCACAAAATGCCAGTCGTCCCCTCTTGCAGGTTCACGTGACCCCGGCTGCTGTGTCTCAGTGGTCAAAGCTCCAGCACAGCCTCCCCGCTCCCACCTTCTGGTTAGAAACTATTTAGATACTCAGAGTTCATTCCACTTCCGGATGGCATCCGCTTCAGACTGAAGTCCTACTTCTTTTCCCCAAACACCTAACACAGCCCAAATCCCATAAGCCCTTTCTGCCTCCCTCGAATACAGACCATCTGTGTTCCCTGTTGTCTGCGTTGTCTCTCACTGCAGTCAGAAAAACCACCTTGTTCAGCTACAGGTGCGTTCCTCCAGCTCTTCGGTCTTTTGGGCACTGATGTAGCAATTCTTGTATCTCCCAGGAGTCGGAAGTGAAACCCAGGTCTCCCCGATTATGATCAATCCATAAATCCAACAAATGCATCAATCCATGAACCCAACGGTCTTACCCAAATTCTTCCATAGACTCCAATCATCAAGAAACCAAAGCACCAGTTTGTGGCAATCAGATTGATTGACAGTATCCCTCTGTGCTATATCCAGGGCCTGGAACACACCCACTTGGAGCCTTCCCTTGTACTCACTACAGCAGGGTCAGCTCCTTCCTATGAGAAAGTGTTCCTACAAGGAGGAAGGCTTGTGACTGAAGCAGGGAGGTGCTGTGCGCTCTCTCCCTCCCCCCCATCTCTCTCTCTCCTATCTCTTTCTCTCCTATCTTTCTCTCTTTCCTACCTCTCTCTCCTATCTCACTCTCTCCTATCTGTCTCTCTCTCCTACCTCTCTGTCTCTCTCCTATCACATGCTCTCTCTCTCTCTCTTTCTCTCCCTCTCTCTCTCACTCTGTCTCTCCTTCTCTCTCTTTCCCTCCTTCTCTCTCCTATCTCCCCCCCACACTCCCCACTCTTCTTGGCTCACAGTCAAACTTTTCAGTGGTTGCTGAGCCTACTTTCCTGGAGGAAGTCACATCCCGCATTCTCTGGCAGTACTAGTAGCTGTCCTGCCGGCCACATTTCTTTCTGCCCTTGACCTGCTTGCTAATGACTGTTGCTTGCCTCAGCTTCTCAGGGCAAAGTCCTGCTCCTTGTCACGTCTTCTAATAGAGGAAGACTGACGGGAACTCAATTTCTCTTCTGATTTCTGCTGTGTCCCCTTCCTCCCTTCCACGACACACAAACTCTGTTCACAATTAAGCTTCTGGACACAATGCCTTTGCTTTCACTGCACAAAGTCCTAACACCACATCGGCTAACCAGAGGGGAAGAGAGAGACCAGAGAGAGGAGGTTGAGAGAGAGAGAGAGAGAGAGAGAGAGAGAACATCCGTCTGCTGATTCAAACTCCCCAAATGGTTGCAATGGCTGGAATTGGGTCAGGCCGAAGCCAAGAGCCTGGAACTCCATCTGGGCCTCCCAGGTGGGTAGCAGGTGCCAAGCAACTGCTTTATGCTGATTTCCCAGGTGCATTAGCAGGGAGCTTGATCAGAAGTGGAGCAACAGGGATTTGAACTGGCATTCTGACACAGGATGCCATCACCACAGGCAGCAGCTTAACCTGATGTGCCACAAATATTTTAGAACAACTAGAGCCTTCAGTGTATTTTTCTTCCTCACTCCAAATTAGCATCCATGTTAAAATCATTCTACTATACAGTACTGAGAATAAGAACCCTAATATTCTTTGAGTCTCAAAGCTCTACCTAAATGTCTAGATCAAAAGAAGGTGGCAGGGGCTGTGCTGTGGTGTAGCGGATAAAGCCGCCGCCTGCAGTGCCAGCATCCCATATGGGCTCTTGTTCGAGTTCTGGCTGCTCCACTTCTGATCCAGCTTCCTGCTTTTTTGTCTAGGAAAGCATCAAAAGATGGTCCAGGCACTTGGGTCCCGGAGACCCAGACGGAGCTCCTGGCTCTTGGCTTCAGCCTGGCCCAGCCCTGGCAGATCCAACCATTTGGGGACTGAACCAGCAGATGGAAAATCCTCTCTCTCTCTCTCTCTCTCTCTCTCTCTCTCTCTCTTTCTCTGCTCTCCTTGCCTCTGTGTAACTCTGCCTTTCAAATAAATAAATAGCTGTTTATACACTGAAGAAAAAGAAGGCATGCTTCTTGTTGGGCGGAAAGTTCTGGACACGTAAGTTAGGCCTAGTTGAGATACAGTGTTGTTCAAATCTTCTATTTCCTCAATGAGCTCTGTCTACATATTCTGCCCTATATGGAATGTTAGGTATCAAAGTCTCCAACCTTCATTGTGAGACTATTTCCCCTACTAACAATTCTGTCAATGCTTGCTTTACAGATGAGAGCTCGGCTGTTTCTTGCTTAGATGTTTATAATTGTTACATATTTTTGGGACCGGCACCGTAGCACAGTAGGTTAATCTTCCACCTGCAGTGCTGACATCCTATATGGGTGCTGGTTCTGGTCCCAGCTGCTCCTCTTCCCATCCAGCTCTCTGCTATGGCCTGGGAAAGCACTAGAAGATGGCTCAAGTCCTTGGGCCTCTGCACCCACATGGGAGACCCAGAAGAAGCTCCTGGCTCCTGACTTTGGATTGGCACAGCTCTGGCCATTACAGCCATTTGGAGAGTGGACCAGCAGATGGAGGACCTCTCTCTCTGTCTCTCTGTCTATAACTCTACTTCTCAAATAAATAAATAAAATTTTTATATATATAAAATTTTTTATTATTATTTTTTTTTTTGACAGGCAGAGTGGATAGTGAGAGAGAGAGAGAGACAGAGAGAAAGATCTTCCTTTTGCCGTTGGTTCACCCTCCAATGGCCGCCGCGGCCGGCGCGCTGCGGCCGGCGCACCGCGCTGATCCGATGGCAGGAGCCAGGAGCCAGGTGCTTTTCCTGGTCTCCCCATGGGGTGCAGGGCCCAAGCACCTGGGCCATCCTCCACTGCACTCCCTGGCCACAGCAGAGGGCTGGACTGGAAGAGGGGCAACCGGGACAGAATCCGGCGCCCCGACCGGGACTAGAACCCGGTGTGCCGGCGCCGCTAGGCGGAGGATTAGCCTAGTGAGCCGCGGCGCCGGCTATAAAATTTTTTATACTGATGCCATAGACAGGAGTGTCAATTGGTAAAGTCAACAACAGGAGTCACTGTGCACTTACTCCTCATGTAGGATCTCTATCCTTAATGTGCTGTACATTGAGATTTAATGCTATAACGAGTACTCAAACAATATATTTCACTTTGTGTTTCTATGGGGGTGCAAACTGTTGAAATCCTTACTTAATACATACTAAACTGATCCTCTGTAAAAAAAAAAAAAAAAAGAAATTATCAATTCCCAACTTGACTCTCACTGGGATTAAACATGACAATAGGTCTGCTCTGATTTCATCATCATTTTAAAAAAATCATCTATTATTTTTCACTTTATGTTTCTGTGTGGGAGCAAACTGTTGAAATCCATACTTAATGTATACTAAGCTGATCTTCTGTATATTAAGATAATTGAAAATGAATCTTGATGTGAATGGAAGGGGAGAGGGAGTGGGAAAGGGGAGGGTTGTGGGTGGGAAGGACGGTATGGGGGGGAAGCCATTGTAATCCATAAGTCGTACTTTGGAAATTTATATTCATTAAATAAAAGTTTAAAAAAAATTTATGTAAATTTTTACATAGTTTTGATGAATTGACTTTTTTAGCAATATATAATCTTTTTGTCACTTGTAACAGTTTCTTTTATTGTTTTATTGTGTACTTGAAAGAGAGAGAGAGAGAGAGAGAGTGCTCATTTGCTAGACCACTCTCCAAGTGCCCACAATAGCTGGGGCTGAGCCAGGCTGCAGCCAGGAGCTTGGAACTCTATCCGCGTCTCCCACCTGGGTGACAGGAACTCAAGTATTGGAGCCGTCACCTGCTGCTTCCCAGGCGCATTAGCAGGAAGCTGGATCAGAAGCACAAGTGGAGCTCCATCCCAAGAACTTGGATGTGGGATGTAAGCCGCCTATGCAGTGGCTTAACTACCCCTCTTGTACCAGTTTCTACCCTAGAGCCTATTGGGTCTGATATTGGTTTTGCCACTCCTGCTCTCTGTTGGTTACTATTTGCATGGGATATATTTTTCCAACTTTCCACTTTCAACCTGTGTATGATTTGAAACTTAGGTAAGTCTCTCGTAAACATCATATAGTCGAATCATGCTTTCTTATGCATTCTGTCAGGATCTGACTTTTAATCAGGGAGTTTAATCAATTTACATTTAAAATGATGACTCATAAAGAAGACTTAATATCTGCATTTTACTATTTCTTTTCCATGTCAAAAATTTTGTTCATGAATTCCTCCAGCACTGTCTTCCTTTGTGGTTTTTTTTTTCTTAGAGTACCTGTTTTATTCCATCCTCACTTCCTTTTCTGTATTTTTTAAAAGTTATTTTCTCAGTGG